GACCGGTATCTTGTCTCCTAAGATACACGTACATATAGAGGGAGACAGACACTACAGGTACTGCATACAAAATCCAGACCTACGTACATGTACACATGTTCAACAATTAGTGCGCGGCGTAGCCGGGCGAAATCGATCCAGCAGCATGTTAGCTTCTACTGTATGTATCATCGGAGAAAGTCAAGGTTGCGTCGTTGAGGTAGGTTCTGCAGCAACATGGCCCGTTCCTGTGGCCGCTGTCAGCGCACCTTGGCCTTGATGGTCACGCGTGCACCGCCGCGCATCGGCTTTGCCAGCCACCATCCGTCGGCTGCACGCATGGCTGAGAGCCACAGCTCAAACTGCCGCCGCCGCACCACTGTCGTCTGCTCCGCGCTGCTCGTCGACACCCCATCTGCGTGTTGGCCAAGCTCGCCGTGCCAAGACATCGTTGGCCCTGCTGGCCATCGCCAGCGCATCCGTGCCGAACCTTCATCGGCCCTGCTGGCCGCGGCAATGCGTGTAGGGGAAGCCAGAGGTGGGGACGGGAGGAGATCCTTTTTTTCTTTGAAATCAGGACGGGAGGAGATCCTGATGGGTGATGTCCAGGAGAACAGCATGGTGCATGGCCCATCCGAGCGACACGCACAACAACTGTTCGATATTTTGTCTCAATGTAGTTAACATGAGCACTGCGTGTGTTTTATTTTTCTTTTCTTTCTATGTAAAAGCTTGGGCATGTGTCACTTTGAACCGGTCGAAACCACGCTCAGTCAGCATGAATACTGAAGGGACACATCTTGTCCGGTTTCAAAAGCTAAAGGTGCAAGTTGTCTGGTTTTATAGTTGAGGGACCAAATCTATCATACTCTCTCTATTTTTGTATACAAGGCCACTATCAAAATTACAATTTGCAGCTATACAAGGCCACTAACATGAATCGAGATAAAATTTATGAGGTATGCCTCGTACTAGGAACCGAGGACATTAATACCCCATGCATGCATCCAGGGGTGAGAAGGTTGTTTTAATGCATCACATTAATCAACCAACGAGGAGTGAGAGAGTTGTCTTGTTGTGCGTTGGTGAGAAAAATACACATTAATTAACACATCAAGCGAGGAGAAATAACTAGTTTACAACATTGGCTTAAGTGGCCATTAGTTTCTACCTTGGTACGTGTAATATGGGTTTGTGGCCTTGTATACAAAAATGGAGGAGTAGAAGAGTTAATCTTCAAAGTATGAACTCCTTCCTCTCTCTAATCCCAAAAAAAGAATGCTCGGCCATGACGATGGAGGTTGAAGACGACATGATCTAGATGCAATGAAAGAGGCTAGCTTTGTATACACCATATGAAAAAGGCGAGGCTTAAGCGTATGCATTAGCAGGGACATGTGTGTGTTAATATACGGCTCCAAGGCCGATAGGATTTACACGGGAGTCAGGCCAAGGATTGATCCGCAAGTTAGTTACCAACCTGGATCACATCTCTTCGGCCTAACAGTATGGGCGCTTATAGGCGCCGGTGCGCCGGCCCAAATTTGGGCCGGTCAGCGCGTAGCCGCTCGATCTGTTTATGCCCAGCCGCTGGATGCGGCATCCTCTGGACGTACCGCTTCGTCCTCATGCCTCCTCTCGTGCGTTGACCAACAGCCCGCGTCCATGGCGCATCGCGCTTGCCGCCGCCCGCGCCCTTGCCGCCGGTTGCCGCCCCTCGCCGGTCCCCGCCCTTGCCGCTGGTTGCCGCCCCTCGCCGCCGGTTGCCGCCCCTCGCCGTTGTCGTCTCCGGTGTTTCTCGCCGACTATGGAGCCATGCATGGATGTAGCAAAAAACTTCCCTGGTCGTAGCAAAACGCGAAGGCGGTTGCAACAAAAAATGTCACTTCCAGCACAATTAAATGATAGTTGCAGCAAAAAATGCTCAGTAGCAGAAAACCATGGCTCAAAGCCAACAGCAGTAGTAGCAAATCTTTGTTTTAGTTCCAGCAAAACCAAAAACAGTGGAAGCAAAAATGCAAAAAAAGGAGCCTTTGTGGAAGGATGTTCTAGCAAAATCAAAGACACCGGTGGTAGCAAAAATTGAAACTGGTTGTAGCAAATTAAAACACCATTTGTAGCAAAGTAGCAAAATTGGGCGTTCTTCCAGCAAAAAGCGAATGCGGCAGTTGTAGCAAAAATTGAAGCTGGTTCCAGCAAATCAAAACACAGGTTGTAACAAAATGCAAAGAATTGTCGTCGGTGGTAGCAAACCAAAGTGCCGATGGTAGCAAAAATTAGTGCTGGTTCCAGCACCGCCATGAGCCGGTTCCAGCAATGGGCTTCGTTGAAGTTGAACCACTGGTGGACTCTCCTGTCCACGGCGCCGAAGGCTTCTCCCGTCCACAACATCGGTCGACGCCCCGTCGTAGCACCGGTGTTGAAGCTTCGCGGCAGTTGTCGTTGGACGGTCGTCGCAGCCCCGCCTGCTTGTGGAAGCGCTGACGGCTTGAGGTGGAAGGAGGGGGAGAGGTGGGGAGCCCCAATGGTGAGGGAGGCGGAGGAAGGAGAGGGAGAGGTGGGCAGCACCGATGGGGAGGGGAGCTGGAAGAAGGAGAAGGAGTGGTGGGTAGCAGCGGTGGGGAATTGTGGCCAAGAACGCTCTAGATCGAAGGGAAGAAGATAAGGGAAAGGGGCAGAGCGATGCGGGGCCCCACGAGACGCGGGTGCGACCGGCGCAATTTTGAGCCGGTGCGCCGGCTGTAAACACTTACCTAACAGTATTTACAACAACTTTCAACAACCATACACTCACACAATCCTACACATATACAATGTTTAACATCATCAACAGTCAGACTTACTCAAAAAGCCTCATCAATGGCGTGGAAGAACGGCTGGAGGATCCACTCGTTCGCTACGAGTGCGTCGCTCTCATCGTGTACTCTGCCACAAGCTTTGAGAACAGAGACGACTTGTTCTCCAGCAGGTTGGCCGGCGAGTCACGCTCCACGGCCACGCCTGCAAAGATTAGCAGGGCTTTTGTCAGACCAACAGATTTGCCAAACGCATGGGATTATAGAAGAATTAACAAGGCCCGATTGCAATTTGTTTCAAAGGGCTGATGGCTGACCATCGTCGAGGAGCAAGACCATGTCGCTGTCAAGGACCGAGGTGATCCGATGCGCAATCGTGATGACCGTCGCCTCCGAGAAATTCTCACGTAGTGTTCTCTGAATCATGTTGTCTGTCGCGGTATCCACTGAAGCAGTGGCTTCGTCCAGAACCAGTATCTTGGTTTGTTTCAGAATCACCCTACCAAGACAGACAAGCTGGAGCTGGCCCACGCTCCAGTTCTCTCCATTCTCTATCACTGCAAGGCAATATAGCATGATTTTTTCAGTTTACAGAAGAAGCAGTAGCACGTGTTTTAAAAAGCTGATACTGGGAAATGTGCAAAAGGATGAGCAAATTAAGTTTCAGACTTTCAACCGCACGACTGAAAATGAACATATCACACATCAGACCTGGTGAGTCGAGTTTCAGCTCCTTCCTCCTGACCTCATCTCCCAGCTGACAGTTATCCAAGGACTGAAATGGAGCAAAAGATTCAGACTACAACTTCACAACAGGTCCTTGACTACTGTGGAAATAACTAAGAAATGAAGCATGTGAAAGCGAAACTACCTCCCAGATCTGATCGTCGTTGTATTCGTTAAGAGGGTCAAGGTTGCTCCTCACAGTTCCCTCAAACATCGTTGGATCTTGTGGAATGATGCTAAGTCTAGATCTCAGATCATGCAGCCCGATGGTGCAGATGTCAACACCATCTACCAGTATCTGACCCACGGTAGGCTCGACAATACGGAATAGGGCCTGTATGAGTGTTGATTTACCACTGCCCGTTCTTCCAACAATACCAGTCTTCATGCCTCCAGGAAAAGTGACTGAAAGGCCCTTCAGAACAAATGGTAGTTGTGGAGCATATCTCACCTGCAGAAAATTTGAAAAGTTAAGGATCTGCACTATCTAGCATAAATTGTTCATTTCTCATTTGACAAAACACTGAATCTGCAATTTGTTTCCCATCAGACAGGATTTCTAATAGTTCACTCGCAATGGCAAAAATATGAAATTTCTGTGCAACAACACGGTAAAAGAAAAGGAGAACATAATTAAAAAAGAGGAAAAAGAAAAGGGTATTTACATGGAGATTACGAAGCCGAATTTCTCCCTCTGATGGCCAGTTATGGGGCAACTTATCTCCTGACGTTGAAAGTGGAGGCTCTTCAGGAATGCTTATGTATTGCAGAATTCTTTCTACTGATACGATCTTGTTCTCCAAATTGCACATGCTCCGGACAACCCATGCTTGCAACGTGTTCAAGTTAAGCCCATATGTGACGGCGAGACCAGCAATACCTGAAAGCAGGACGTAGATTTAGTTGCAAGCCCATATCAAGTCACATCTAATCTGCTACCATTACTCGAATATTTTTCCAAACAAGTAACATCCTAACCTGGATCAATGATACCAGTTGGTAGACTGATCAGAAATATCAAAGCAAATGCAAATGTAAAGGACGACAGCGTATCCAAGCGGAAACAAAGCCACTCCATTGCTGCAGCGTTGTAGAATTTCGGTCGAGAGTCGGCATCTATTAGATGGCTATTAGTTAATACAAACTGATTTTCTTTGCCAAAACTTCTGATGGTTGTTGATCCACTAATTGATTCTGCAAAATGTTGTATGATAGGAGCTTTGCAAACCCCTACCAGCCTTTGCAGCTCTCTGGCCGTCTCAATGTAATAGCGCTGCAAAACCAATATATATAATAAGGTGCTGATCTTGCAGTTAAAACAACATGAAGAATAAGTATTAAATAGACTAAATTACCTGGTAGCACAAGAAGATAATGATTACAGGAACGAAAACAACGAACACCTGCCATGCTACCTGAGACATCACCACAATAATTCCAACTAGTTGTATGATGGAAAACGCAACATAACCCATCTGGTTAGCGATATATGTATCCACTTCGCTTTGATCAGTTGAAGCCTAAGCAGTTCAATCTTGAGTGAGCAATATTCGAAGTAAGCAAATCAAACTTCCCAGGAAATTTGAGGAAATGCAAATGACTTACTCTATTCAAGATGCGCCCACTTGGAGTGGAATCGAAGAAAGACATAGGAGCTCTGAATATGGCCATATGCATCTTGTTGAACAACAGAGTTGCCGTTTTGTATGCAGCTGTGACAACCAACAATGCCCTTACGAGGATGCACAGGGAACTTGCAACAGCCAATGCCACAAAGACGTAGATCAGTGTCGACATGCTCACTGGAGGCTCGGCGTCTTCTGATACAGGAGAAGCCCAAGCCATCCAGTAATTGCTAGCAATCTGAAGTACTTGGAAAAGTAGCTGTGCTATCAACACGAATGGTACGAGAGCTCCGCCGTAAGCCAATGTGAGGTACTTCCAGTAGACCCAGAACCCCACCCTGCCTTTCTCCCTTTCTTCTTCCTGCACCAGCTGCCCACTTTGAACCTTGTCACCGTCTTCTTTGCCATTTTGTTTGTCCTTCTCTTCAGCTGATGACAGTGACCTGGATAGGCTTGAAGATAATTTCTCACTGCCTCCATTAGCAACATCAATCACATCCAATGCTGTGAGAGCATGCTGGTGAGCACCAACCAGTTCCATTAGCTCTTCCCCTGAACCAAGTATTTCGTTGTATCTGCCTGCTTGCGCTATTCTCCCGTCTTTCATTACCTACATTAAAATTACCTTATAAGGAGAGCCGAACAATTTATGGAAATAAAATTTACATGAAACATTTGCCAATGAAATTCTCACCAGAATAAGGTCAGCTGCAGGCAGGAACTCAATCTGGTGAGTGACATAAACCACTGTTTTTGAAGCCAAAGCCCCAAGCAAGCATTCCTACAAATGGAAGGAACCTTAAGCAATGTGTTCTCAAACTCCTATTGAACAAAAAAAAAGAGAGAATGTTATTATACCTTGAAAAGGTGGGATCCTGTATGAGCATCGACTGCGCTGAACGGATCATCGAACACATAGATGTCGGCATCCTGATACAAAGCTCGGGCTATCTGAATCCTTTGCTTCTGCCCTCCACTAAGATTAATGCCTCTCTCTCCAATGAATGTCTTGTCGCCGAATGGCAAGATCTCCAAATCTTTCTTCAGCGAACACCACTCAAGGACCCTGTCATACTTCTCACTGTCCATCTCCTTGCCGAACAGTATGTTGTCCTGAATTTTGCCACTCTGTATCCATGCCGTCTGGCTGACATACGCCATTGTTCCGCAAGTCTTTACCTCTCCTGATAGCTTTGGCACCTCACCAAGAATGCAAGAGAGCAAGCTTGATTTTCCAGAGCCGACCGTCCCACAGACAGCAACACGCATGCCTTGCCGAGCTTGAAAATTCAGGTCCTTCAGTGTTGGCAGCTCAGGTGAGCCGTCCCAGGAGAAGCACCCATTGCTGACCTCAATTGCAACATTGGAGCTACCACTTGATAGCCTCTCCACAGCATCCGTCGAAACTCCTCAAGGCATAGGAAAGATGCTATCCTGTCAAGAGACACCTTGGTCTGAATCATCATTGAGATTGTGTCAGGAAGGTTGTATATTGGTTCTTGAAGCACCCGGAACGTGGCCAATGCAGACAGCACCTTCCCTGACTCCAATGGTATCCCTAGGAGCATGCAAGCTCCAAAGGTTGCCACAGCGACAAAGGTCGGGGCACCCCAGAACACGAAGGTGGCCGCGGTCCATGTGTAAAGGTACTTCTTGAGCCAGCTTGTCTCTGTGGTCCTGAGGTCACTGATCTTGGACAAAAACTTCATTTCCCACCCCTGCAGTTTAAGAATCCTCATGTTGCGCAGGATCTCAGACGTCGCCTTCATCCTCACATCCTTGCAGTCCATCAGCTTCTGCTGGAACTTCTCCTGCATTTTCATCGGAGGCACATTTGCAAGCATGACCGCAATTGTGGCACCGAGCGCTGCAAGCGAGGCTACCCCGAGGGTGGAGTACAAGATGAACAATGCCAGGCCTACTTGGAGAGGTACCAGCCAGGGATCGTGCATGTACCATGAGAAGAGCCCGACTCGGTCGGCGTCGACGCTGATGATGTTGATCATCTCCCCGCTCGTGCAGCTCTGTCTCGAGCTGCTGGACAGAGAGAGCCCTTTCTGGTACACGACGGAGACAAGCGCGGACCGAGCACGTATCCCGGCTTGCTGTAGCCGGAAGAACCAGTGCCGTTGTGACAAACACTCAAACACCTTGGCTACGATGAATGTGACAACAAGGAGCTTCCCCTTGCCGGCGTACCTCTCGTCGCCGTTGAGGTACTGCACGAGGGAGTCTATGAGGTATGGGCCAACGTAGGTGGCCAGGTTGTAGATGAGCGCGTAGAGCGCGGTCACCGCGATGTGCCACCACACGGTGCGCACAAGGGCCCTGGTGAGCTTGAACGCGGTGAACTTCGGGCCAGAGCCGTCGCCGGCGAGCGCCTCCAGGTTCGTCTTGAACGAGGGGAGCAGGCCGGCCACGCTGTCGCCGTGATCGAGGTCCGGGACGTCGTCGAGGCCGAGGGTCTTCCTGTGGCCGACTGCGATCAGGGGGCTCATCCAGGAGAAGGTGAGGACGCTGAGGAAGCCGGCGCTCGTGAAGAGGGAAGCATCGACGGTGTCGTCCCTCGCGCCGTTGAGCAGAGGTTCCTCGGAAGCAGAGCCGGCCGTCGTCGCCGCCCTCCTGGCCGAGGACCCGGCGACGAGTAGCGCCACGGCCGCGATGACCTCAACGGCGTCGCGCGCCCACGGAAGCGCGGGCACGGGAAGCCTGTAGCAGAGGCTGGTCGCGGCGTGGACGGCGACGGCGAGGACGGAGAGGAGAAGGAAGAGCCCCCACCAGAGCCTGAGCGGCGCGGGGAACCGCTCCTCCCCGCGGCCGCGGTACTCGAGCTGCAGGTACGCCGCGAGCAGCAGCCACGCCACCGCGCGCGCCGCGGCGTCCGCCTGGTCCGCGACCTTGGCCCCGCCGTCGCCGCCGCTGTTATCGAGGTACCACGAGACGAGCGAGTAGGCGGCGAGGAAGAGCTCGGACGCCGCCAGCGCCCACGTGGCGCGCACCGCGACCTGGCCCCACCGGAACCGGATGCCCGGGGCGGCCGTGTCCTTGCCGCGGCGTCCGGAGGCGAAGAGGAGCCGGGCCGCGACGGAGAGCGCAAGCAGGAGGTGGGCTCCGGCGCCGACGCCGTGGAGGAGCAGCGGCCGCAGGAACAAGGGGAGGGCGGGCTGCTTCTGGCCCGCCATCGCTGCCGCGGTGGGCATGGATGGGTGCCGGCTGATGGCTGAGTGAGTGGAGCGCCGGAGCTGGCTGGCGAGGGTTATATAGGCGGGGCGGCGACACGTGCGTGGCGGGTGCGCGGAAGAGTCGTGACGGCGACGAGGCGGCTGCAAGATGTCGGCAGGCTCTCCTTGTCGGCGGCGTCTCCCGCTCTACGGAAACTGAGCTCTTGGCAGTCAGCAGCTGCGGGTCAATCACTTAGTCGTCAGCTAGTGGCGCGGTGATATCTTGGCCGTCGTCGTCCGCGGTGTCGCCGGATTGTACCATCGAGATGGCATGGTGAATTCCTCGCTAGCCATTGTGCTCAGTTGACCCAAAAATCACAGCAATTGTCGTGCATGTTGTTTGAAAGAAGGGCATTTCAGCCTGATCTTCTATTTGGAAGTTTAAAGTCATGCTTTTCTCTCAAATATTTTCCCAAATAATAAGGGTCACACATGTGACACAAAGCATGATCCAAATATTTTGACTATCAAACAGATGACATCAGCGGTTTTTTTTTTGGTTTTTCAGACTTAAAAATGTTTTATCTCTTAAATAAAAAGTATGTTTTCATCATTAAATCCATCTTGAAGAGATCTTCAAAACTAGATCTTATTGATAAGTTTTGACAATTTTTTTGTTCAAAAGTTGACATGATGTTACATTGAAGTTGCCATAGTTTTACCATAAAGTTGACATAATATGTTACATCTATTTTTTTTCTAGATTTAAAGCTATCATTGTATTTCAACTACTTTTCACGGTAAATTTTTTGAATTGACCATGGCGATTTTTAGTAATTAACCACGAAAAATTTAATTCATGGATCATGAAATATTTTAGTAATTCATCATGGCAAATTTAGTTTATAGATCATGGCAATTTTAGTATTTTGACCATAAAAATTATTTTTTTGTGTGAAGCAGGGCAAATTTTAGTGCATGTACCCTCGCAATTTTAGTTTTTGGTTCATGAAAAATTTGAGTCATTAATTATGCATTTTTAAAGTAACGACGGATTTCTTTTTTACTTATGAACTATTTCAAAATTATTTCATGGATGGCAAAATTTAGTAATTCTCCATGGCAAGTTTAGTTTCTTAATTCCCTTTTTTATAACATGTCAAAAATTTACTTTAAATGTAGAAGAAAAAATAGTTGAAACATATCATGACAATTTTAGTGTAAACATCATGGCAATTTATGTGCAATAGACATGGCAACTTTTGACCGCCCAAAAATATCATTGAAACATATCAATATGGGATCTAATTTTGAAGTCCTCGCCGCGACAGATTTAATGGTGAAAACGGATTTTCAATTGGATTTTTCATTTAAGAGATACAACAAGTTTGAAAAACCGAAAAGATTCCCGCTGACATTACCTGTTTTTGTCACTATTATATGCATGTGTGAAAGAAACAAAAAGACTGACGTGTCACAGTGAGTGACTAGAAAGGCGTTTGGCCCGGCCTCCTTCAGCCCACACGTGTGGGCAAAATTGCTTCGTGCCACATGTGTGGCACTTAGCAGGGTCCATTATTTTTTGATTTGTTGCAGCTAAGGAAATCAAGAAGAGTAGTTCAGTCTGATCTTGCATAGAGCAGTTCATGTTTTTGTCTGGAAGAAGAGCAACTCAAGGTGAAGGCTGCGAGCATGGTTGTCAAGATGCCAAGGAATGGACATGTGTCGTACACATATGCTAAAATCAGTCTATAGGGTTGTTTAGTTCTAGCAATACTAGCAAAAGAGTCCGTACGTTGCAGCGGGAGAAGAAAATACCGCACTGCCCTAACCCAATAAGTCTTGCCGAGGCGTCTCTCTCGGCATAAGATGAGAAATCTGTTTTTTTTTCTTGCAAGATTTTGCCGAGGCGTACAAGAACGGTTATCGATGGTTTTTTCCTCTCCAACTTGGTTTTCATGAGGTGTTCATTGCAATCTAGTCTGGTGTCGGTACGAAAGGAAGATGAATCATGCATTATTGATTAAGATTTCACCCTAGATAGCATTTTTAAAGATATTTAACAGGTAAAATAACATCATATTCATATCCTACACATTTTTCTAATCAAATTGCATATATAACATGCTAAAATTGGAGTTAGGGTTTAAACGATATGGGTATTTAAATAAAAGTATTATTTGTTCTAGATGGAATGCGGGTTACTTGTAGAAATGACAGGTGGTTTTCCCTAAAACACAAAAAATTGATTAGTATCCTGTCACTTAATGATGCAGTCTCGGTTATTTACTAGAAAGGGGAGGGGGTTTTCTGTATAACGGTAAAAACGGTTTGCTTTCTCACTTAAATGAGAATGATGGGTTAATTACCTGAAAACAAAAGGGGGTTTCTATAGAAATGTTGACAGTGAACGGGCAGAAGCACTCTGTACTTTATAAGTGGGTATGGACTATTTGTTTGTAGCTTGTATGTTGTGTTCATAGTTTTCCAAACAGAATCATGAATAAAAATTTGTCCGACAAAAACATCCTTATTAATTGTTGTTGGTCTGTCATTGTTTGTTGAGAATGGCAAATATACAGTATCAAACTAGGAGATACTAGTGTGGTATCTGGGAGAGACTAAGGGCATGGATCGGACCCGTTCCTAGCCTCGTTTTAGCATTTGGTTGACAACTGGAATGGAACTTACTCGTTCCTACCGAATGAATATCTGGCCCAGATTCGGAACACGGTGATACCTCCAATCGGAGGAATCACATGGAACCGGTCGGTCATTCCTCTCCCTCTCTCTTGCGGCACCTCTTCCTTGTCTCTCTTGCTCCCTCATTCTACGCCACCGGGCCTCCACCTTCAATCTGTGCCACCGACCACTCCCGTCCCATCTCGCGCTGGCGTTGTTCAGCTCACGCTCGCAGCCGCCCAACCCGCCTCCCAGCCAATCCTCAAACCGTCTGTTTCCTCCCAGAAACAGCTGTCCAAACCCTGCAAGCCATCCAACGATGACCCCCCCGGTGTGTGAAGCAGTTTGTTCCACAATTTTCCCGCAAAACAGAACCAAACGCAGGGGGCTTTGCGGGAGTCCGAGCATGAGCCATGTAGGATTCCGACAACCCAGGTGTGACACCCCCTTTTATAATCATGCACTGATCATACACACATAATGCACAATCAGGAACGGTGACTCACGTTAATATCACAACACAACTCTAAGACACAAATTTAAACATAAATCTTTATATTGCATGCCAGGACCACAAGAACCCATAATACATCAGTTAGCAAACAACATAAGTCGGGGTATAGACGGTGTTAAACAAGTGTTGCCTTAAGATGGTTGAGCGAAACAACGACACTAGATCCAAAGGTGAGGCTGTTGGAAAACGCAGCATGCAATTTCAAAAAATTCCTACGCTCTCACAAGATCTATCTAGGAGATGTATAGCAATGAGGGGGAGAGTGTGTCCACGTACCCTCGTAGACCGTAAGCGGAAGCGTTTCACAACGCGATTGATGTAGTCGAACTTTCTTTGCGATCCACCGATCGAGTACCAAACGCACGACACCTCCAAGTTCTGCACACGTTCAGCTCGGTGACGTCCCTCGCCTTCTTGATCCAGCAAGATATCGAGGTAGTAGATTAGTTTTGTCAGCACGACGGTGTGGTGACGGTGATGGTGAAGTGATCTCTGCAGGGCTTCGCCTAAGCACTACGAAAATATGACCGGGGAAGTAAACGGTGGAGGGGGGCGCTGCACACGGCTAGGCAATTGTCTGGTGTGTGCTAGGCGCTCCCCTCCCACATATATATAGGTGGGGGAAGGAGGGAGCAGCCAGGGGGCACCCCAAGTAGGATCCGAATCCTACTTGGGGTTTCCCCAAGTGGCGCCCCTGTCTGTGTCAAAACCGGCGGATCTCGGGTAGGGGGTCCCAATCTGTGCGTCTAAGGCTAACGGTAACACGAGGCAAGGGACACGATGTTTTACCCAGGTTCGGGCCCTCTCGATGGAGGTAAAACCCTACTTCCTGCTTGATTGATCTTGATGATATGAGTATTACAAGAGTTGGTCTACCACGAGATCGTAGAGGCTAAACCCTAGAAGCTAGCCTATGATGATTATGATTGTGTCTCTAAGGACTAAACCCTCTGGTTTATATAGATACCTGAGGGGGCTAGGATTTACACAGAGTCGGTTACAAAGAAGGAAATCTATTATCTGGATCGCCAAGATTGTCTCCCACGCAAAGGAGAGTCACATCCGGACACGGGACGAAGTCTTGAGTCTTCACGGTCCAACAGTCCGGCCAAAGTATATAGTCCGGCTGTCCGGATACCCCCTAATCCAGGACTCCCTCAGTAGCCCCTGAACCAGGCTTCAATGACGATGAGTCCGGCGCGCAGTTTGTCTTCGACATTGCAAGGCGGGTTCCATCTCCGAATACTCCAAAGTATCTGTTGTAATGAACAGTGTCCGGCTTCCCATCAATGTTGTGCTCCTCGGCTTCTGTGCTTCAATAATGGCCATATTCACGTGTCGAGCAAATCCGAGGAGCCGGGGCATTTTTGCATTTGCCACCCCGGCCTTGCAGGCAAACCGTCTATTTGAAGGGAGGAGGATTCACAGATCCAAGCCTCACCCTCTTCCCTCGAGCGAGCATCCAATAGAGCGTGCCCAGAAAAAACCATTCCAGCATGGCCGGTCGCCGCAGCTCCTCCTCTCGCTCCCTCAGCTCTAAGGCAGGTGATTGGGAAGAATGTTCTGTTCCACAAAGCCGCTTAATAGAGTTACAGACCCAAGGGTTTCTTCCACCGGCGTTCATGGTCCCCTTTCGAGCCGGACTAGCCACCTATAATGGCGGGGAGCAAGCGGAGAGATCTCCTAATCCATCCCCGGGGGAGCGAATATGCCTCATCCCGCATCTGCTAAGAGGCGTCGGGTTTCCAATCCACCCATTCCTTCGTGGGCCCCTGGAGTTCTACGACCTCCAGTTGCACAACTTCACCCCTGCCTCCGTGCTGCATATCGCAGGATACGTCGC